ACCTGAGTACTTCAAGTCCTGTGCAAAATCGCATGATCGCACGGGCCCGCCCGGTGCGTTCCAGCCTGGGTTACTAGTTCCTGCATTTATGCAATCGAGGTACCTGTGACCGTGCATCAGTCTGGGCTTGGAATTATGCATCGTGGCACGTAACTGAACAGTTTTGAACTCGGAATCTGTAACAAAAGTCCCCAAAGACTTCAGAATTTTTACCTCACTGGTACATTTAGTTTGATTGGACAACTCAGCGGACAAATCATTGTGTTACTGCCAATACCGCTTTGTGGGTCACTCTGCGTCGATGCGAGACAGGTCAGTTTTTTTAATCGCCGGAGTAAATCAAACCGTGGAACATCATAGATGATCGCTCTGAAATGCCCAGACTTGCTTTAATTTACTCTTTCTCTTTACTGTTGTTTGCAGCTTTTGCTTCGAGTTCCTGACTTGGTCCTCTTCCCCTTCTTTACTCTGTCCTGAAATCCTCTCTGCAAAGCAATATCTGAGCTCCTCTCCACTCTGGAAGCAATACTTCTGCCCTTTCCCAGCCTCGAGTATCCGCGCAAAAACCAGCAGCGCGGTTCTTCTTCCTTTCCACTTATCACCCCCTCTCCCTTCTCTCTTACGTGGCCTAGGCAACAGTCAAAAGATTCACGATACGTATCCACTCAATCAACCCAACCAACCTCCCTCCCCTCTCTCCGACCTCCGTGCTCGGTTTCTGTACACATCACCCCTCTCTCCTACCACCACCCCATCTGCAGAATCCAGCGTCCCTTGCCACAGCGAAGTAAGGACACCCGAAAAAATCTTTCGCGGATCGTGTATGGTGCTGGCCGAGCCGAGCCGAGGTTCTGTAGTTCCAGAAAATCGGAGCAATCAGAATTTGAGTAACAAGGTTTCGATATGTTTGCGATAAATTTACAGGTCTCGGTTTCGGTGCAGATGACGCTCGAGCGCAGTCCTTACAATGGAGCGCCACGTCTTCGAGTTGCCAGATGTGCTGCTAGTATAGGATACCTCAACGTATATATAATAAACGGTGGTCTCATTGGTGACGTCATTAACAATAATTTCAGGGTGAATAGTTTTACCTTTGTTTAACCATCCATAAATATTTGTCCGAATAGTGCGAAAAATAAATGCTAACAATGAATGATCTTGGCAGCAGACTGCAAACATAGGAAAGAGGAAAAAACTGTACAAAAGCTGAATTCAGAAAGCCCTGCGATATTATGGAAAAGCTCGTTCGTGACGTAGCATTCATTGTCAACGGAAATTAAGCGGTACTGAAAATGACAATAGTTCTTCTCAATAATGCCTGAGGATATAATTCAAGGCCACCTGATTCCTGGCATTCCGAGCGATCGGTCGCTGACCCTTTATCACGATGAATTACTGATGGCGATTTTGGAATGGGGACTGCACTTGCTTCATACTGCACTCAGTAATTTAGGAGACAAATGCTTCTCAGATGTAATGAAATTTCTAGTTTTGTTTGGCAAAGAACCGGGGGCGCAACAATGAGAGGTAGCGTACTAGAGCTTTCTTTTCATCCACTAATATTTCACTTGCAACAGTTGGCCTCTGAACACTTTCGAAAGAGGAGCTGTCGACGGCTTTGCCAGCGATTCTATTGCTGCCGGCAAGTGTTACCATTCGAGCTATTTCCGACTGCGTTTGTCCTTTAAGGAAATAGATTACAACGCCTAATTTGATTTGATATTTCAGTCTGTTTGTAAACTAATACTTTTTCAAAATGATTATTAGCAGCACTATAAATATTTATTAAAAAATGTATTACTTCTTAAAAGAAATATATTTCGCCCACCTATTTTTGTACTTCTGAAAAAACAGAACAGAAAAAGCAGGATTCGCTCCTTCTTAAAGAATTCCATGGGTTTTATGAACGACAGAACTTTTAAACTAAACAATCTAGTTTTTCAGGGTAAAATCATAGCTCAGGCCCAAGCAATGCTTCCAGCAAAAATTTGTGGAATGTTACCACTTTTAGTGGACGAGCGAGTAAACACGCTTTTGTCTCGTCTGCCGCAAGCAATCCCTTTGATGCAAATGGTTTCATACAGCACTGCCTTGACCGCCAAGCCACACAGGCTGCCGGAACATGTTAGTCACTATCACCTTTTGCAGCATAGAGATATTAGTGGAATTTTTTCTCAAAACCATCTGTTCAGCGCAAGTGACCCACGGACCGAACAAGCTGAAACTTCTTTTGAATTGTTTAAAATCCTAAGCCGATCCGTCTCTTGATTAAGCGATATCCTGCGGCCCAGACAAACAAATAACAACGAAATGCACTCTATTATTTCCGCTGCTTGGCTTTTTATCTAGTGGAATCTGTAATGCAGTGCTCCCCACCATAATAGTTCGATGCTACACATTCTCTGTTCGTGCATTTAATAGTTTTAAATGATAAATTCTGTGGCTAAAAGAAAACTAAAAAACTTTAATTAAGTGCTATGCGGAAGTTTGTCGGAGGTATCGAGCGATGAACATATCATCTTCGGTCGGATCGCTACGAGCAAAGGAGGCGTTGTCTGCTGGCACAATTATCCTGAACAATACTCAATCAGCCGTCCAAACTTACACTGCACGTATCAATGCTAATTTGTTGGGCAGTGCTGAAGTGAGGAAAAAAGGCAGAGAAAATGTCACTCAAGGAATTCTAAGAAGATTTCATGTGAAAACCAGAAATATCCGTTCAAAAGCAAGCTCGAAACCAGCCCGGCATGTAAGTGAGTTTAACAAAAGCACATGAATTTTTATGCTTATGCTTGATCACTTTCATTGCTTTTTGAATGCAGCTATGCAGACTGCAAAAAAACAAAGAACACTCGAGTGATGCACAAAATCCTAGAACAGTATTTACTTTTGATACTTTGCTCAGCAGCAATTCGTAAAATGGTTCTCTTCTATGCTGCTGGCAGCTTTTCCAATTGCTTTGACCATGTTACTTCGTCTGGTGGTCAGTCTAACGTCAATCCCAACGTTCGTTTTATCCCTTGAAAGGATAACTTGCTCATCTGAAGTGTGTTGCAAATTATTATCCCGTCTTGAGCTTTGCCATTTTTGGACCACAACTAGGTATCCTGTCCACTGTTTCTGAAAAAGAAAATAATTTTTAACTTATCCCTGGAATCCAACATGAAAACGAAATGTCAACAAGTTTTTCGCTTCCTTCGCCCGAGCTGTTCTGGCGCTACTTTCACTTCAGTATTGCGTTTCTACGAAAATTAAAATTGCTGATGAAATAACTATCACCACAGGTCAGGGCGATAAATGCAAGTCGCGTTTGGCAGCAATGCGCTGGGTGCGATAAAAATGAAGAAGAAGTGGTTGCACACTTTGCTGATTTAATCGTTTCGAATATTCGCGTAAGTTTACCAGAACTACAGAAACTTTTTAACGGAACAGAGCAATGGAAATACGGAAAGTGCTGTGTAAGCCTAAATAATAAGATAAAATTGTTGAGCAGCAAAAAGTGCATTTCCTGAGAGAAATTTCAACTACTTTGTTAAATTATGTCATTTCAGTACCGAGCTTCAGACTTAGCACTGTCAACGTATTTGTTAGGAGCCTATGCAACAAATCTCGATCTTACGCTCAGTTTTGTTGGTGAGTTCAGTCCGAATGGCCGAACAGGCACTATTCCATTTGCGCCACCCATATTGCATTATCCGAATCCGTACAGTGCGCAAATGTTGGACTTGCTATTAAGCGACTACACGATCAATACACTTCTTTATCACCTGCACCGGTTCGTTAGCACAAGGCTTGATGACAGTAGGATTTATTTTCGAGACTGAAGCAGCAAAAATAAAAAAGAGTTAGAAAAAGCTTTTCACTGTTTTACTTCGGAAACTAGACAAGGAAATTTTATGAGAATGCCTCCTATTCGTACGCAGTTTCAAGGATTTGAATTCAGTCTTCATATTAAAAAACCTATGTGTGAGTTAAAAATTTCAGGAGAATATTTCCCACCCATATACGTTCTTTCAGTTTCATCTGTCTTGTCAGATTCGTAAACTTGAAATTTCACTTGTCCGTATGTAAAGACATAGATTTCCAATAGCAGGCGAGGGAGATACGGCTTCTATTTACTATTAAGTGATACCAAACTCGATCTGTCAGACGTTTTGGCGAACACAGGTCTGAATTCAGTGGAGGAATGTAAAATTCTCGAAGTACTGAACTGCTTCAGCTTATTAGCAGAGTGTATGAGTAATTTTAGTGAGCTGAAATGATACAGTCGAAAAAAGTTCCGTCTCGATCTGTAAGTGCTAATTTTGAACAGCAAGACAAGGAAGCAAAGACTTAGCTGGATGTTGATGGATGGCAGCAGAAAATAAAAAAGTTCCAAAATGTAGCGCTAAACTTGCAGTGAAAAAGAAAAGAAGATGCATTTAATGGGGATTCACCCGGTTTGGATAGGCATTTTTAGAACCTTGCTAACATCTTCCATGGCATTAATAGTGCGCACTTGCTGGTGCTGCGTTAATTTTGAAAAGGTATGTTATAGAAGGGGTCTTTTCACATTTCGCATTGGATCGGAACTACCGGGTGTCGGTGATCTGCTAAATACAACTTGCGCTGGCGATGATTTCTATTTGGATGTGAGCAACGAAATTCAGGAAATGAAAGTGCGTTTAGTTGTGTAGTTTCTGTATTTTCATTTCGTCCCTCCCATTTCGAGTTCCCGCTGAAACTACCATCTCTTTTTGTTTAGAAATTCGCTTAATTAATTTCGTCTCTCATTTGAACTTTTCATTTCATCTGGTACAGGATTTCGGAAAGCATACCGATTTTTACAAACGCTGGAAACGAGAAGACGGTGTCGAATCACTGAGGAATTTTGGTGTATGTTTTGGTGATATAGCTCCCGAAATTCGTGAAAAGAATCCCGACAAGCGAGTTTACATAATCGTCAAGACAGTCCGAGCACCATCGGTGCAATTCAAAGCAGCTGATCGAGGTTCAACCATCTGTATTTCCTGAAATTTGTTTGTCTTTACGTCTCCCCCTTTTTTAGGGTAAAATGGTCTTATCTAAAGAATCGTGAGCAAAACTTCAAGCACGCCTCTGCTTTTTCAAATCAACATCGTTTCCACCGCCGCAGTAAAACTTTTAGCAGTTTTCACAAATTTATGTTTTATGAAACATATGTGCAAGGAAGAATATTGACCGAGTTGCGGGACGTTTTCCCTATCCTGTTATGTTTATTTCCAGTTAGTGCCAGCTGCCTCTAACAGAAAGACTCTTCACTACTTCTGAGATTGCGCGAATGTTGCAGTACCATGACCAGCACCAAAGCAATAAACGGCTTCCACCAACTACGCCGGCAATAACCTTCGTGGCACATACTTTAGAGTATTTGATTACCAACATTCTTCAGAAAGTAGTATTTCGGAAATCTTTCCTCTCATAGTCTTTCCTTCTTAAAATCAGCATTTTTTCTTCTGTTGGTGTCTGTATTTTGCATGCACTGGGCACTGCTTCAAAAAACAGAGACATCAAGATTTGCACAGTGACATTTGGCAAACGGTTTGAGAAGCAAATACGAAGATTCGTGTTGAAATGCCTCGTATAAATAATAACAATTTTAGGTACTGTCATCGTAGAGCTGATGGCGGACGGTTTGATATACCTGGATGGGACGAGCAAAAGAGTTGGCCGGGTTCGAGTTGTGACTGCCTTTGCAGTTATTCCACGGCTTCTGAACAATCAAATCATAGGTACTGCTCGGATCGAATATTTGAAGTTTGTTGATATCGATAAAACGTTTGGACTGCAGCAAGAAGCATTTGATAATCTTGCGGATTTGGCTCGTGGGACGATCAACAGGGTTCGTATTTTAGTCGCCAGCGTCATCTATTTAATTAGTCAGAAAATAATACGTCTGGTCATTTTTGCGAAAAGAAGACAGGTTTCCCACATTCTCAGACGTGTTTTTCAAATATATTATAGATGGTGCATAATAATAATAATAACAATAGTAATAATAATAACAAACCTTTAAGGAAGGAAGCAGTATCTTAATATTACCAACTCCTCACAAGATAAATAGCGGCGCGCATCAGGGTAGCCAGTACAATCATGCATTTCCCCGTCCAGCGAATGTTTGCCTGCTAAACACCTTCACTGCTTTGTACTCTGCTGTGCAAAAATAATTGAAGCGTTGTTTGATTCTCAAATTGCGAAATTTCCCACTGATCTGAAAGCTGAATTTAAAATTTTGGATAGTAGGCATCCTCACTAAATTCAAGTCTTCCAATTTTCTGGTTTTCGCGTGATTTTCGCGCTAAAACTTCCTCATGGTCGAACGTGAGATCTCGGCTCGCTTGAGAACTTAATTTGAGTTTGTGAAGCCCCTGCATAGACGGAAGACCTCCTGAAATTTTCACCCTCCTAGCTCTTCTGGCGCCTGACCACCAAAACTTTCACGAGATGTTGAGATCCAGGCGGGCGCGAAAGCTGAATTGGAATTTTCGAGTTCGCACGCGGGCAGCGGACACTGCCCCAAAATTTCAGCTTCTTAACTTCCGTGGTTACCAAATTAATAGTTTTCTCCGCCAAAACTTTCATGGGACCGTGTGTAATAACCGGACACAGGAAAGCTAAATTTAAATTTGCTGGGTTATATTTGGCCGGGGGACATCACCGTAAAATTTCAGCTTCTTGGCTTTTATGATTTCCGAAATAACAATTTCTCCGCCAAAATTTCCGTGGGGCGCACGTGACATCCGGGAGCAAGAGAAGGCTGAAATTAAATTTTAGAGAGTCACAAACGGGCGAGGAACATCTCTCCTGGACTTTCAGCGTCCTAGCTTTTATAGTTGAAACTTGTGGACAAAATGCATACACATAAACACACAAAAATACACATAGACAAACTCATGACAATATGCGTTGCGTATAGCTGTTGCACGGCACAAAACTGTTCTAGATTTGCTTGCAGTTAATTTTTGTTTTAAATTAGATGGTCAGTCATTTCATTTTCTATTGCAGGTAGTGAACAGCAAACTGGCTCAAGGTACTCCGCTTTCAGCTCCAAAATTAACCATTCCGATCGATCTGTATAACATCAACATAAAAGTGACTGAACGCGCGCTTCTCCTTTCCACCGATATTAATGTCCAGCCATCAATGCTACGGTTGCCGAACTGAACATGCTCTAAATGCTCAATTACTGGCCATTTATAAGTGTCAATGACTATAACCATGTGACCACTACTTCAAATCCTAGAATTTTCATTTCTAGTTAGGGTTTAAGTCAAGAAAGTAACGACTGCTCAAGGCCGGAAAAGCGGCGTGGGCATACTTTCTTAACTTAGCTGTAACAGCGATGTGTCCTTAATTTACTAGCTATAAATTTGAACTGCTTGAACTTGCTGTTTTTGCAATTTCTAGCACTTCAATATATGATCCTCAACGGCAGTTAATAATGAGGCCGTTGAATTTGGCTTGTTTTTTTACCTGAACTTTTATTGGATTCTATATGCACAGTCTTGGGCTTACTTGGGGTAAGTAAACACAGTGGGACGTCCAGTTTTTTTACTTTTTGATTGTACATTGTTACTGGCAAATATCAAACAGTAGAAAGCCCCTTCAGCTTGCTTGTAAGCAGCTCTCGAAAAGGAAAGCTGTTAACAGCTCTTTCAACAGTTGGTAACGTTAGTCCATCCTCTCACTTCAGCTATCTCAAAGTACCTTAGCTTCTTTAAGAGTTGCTGTTGAAAATGTAGGTTGTATCAAAAACTTGGAAAATCTAACGCACTTGAGACCCACCCATCCCTAGTAACAATTTGCTGTAACAAAATTTTCTGAGCGTGCCTGACAAATTTTCATGCACAATGATCCGGGTGCAAAGTCTGTCAGTGTTAGTTCTGTTTCTTGCTGCAACAACTACCATCAAAACGTTTGTTAATCATGAAAGTGCTTGCCTCCTGAATCCATGCAGTCGGTACTAAATTTGTGAAACCAATTTACACTGGGGAGAAATAAAATTAAACGTCTCGGTCTTTCGTTCTTATTTGTGCAAGTATGTTTGTGTCTGTATATGCGTGTTTTCAAATGTCCTGCCTCAAGTATCTCCGAAAAGTTTGCATGTGCATTCCCGTATTGATAACTTTAAATCATGCAGTTGATGTTGTGGGGACGATTAACTGCTGTCATTCAAGATATATTATCTCAGGTTTTTCAACAATGAACTGTTTAAGGAATGATTGGCCATTTTGATGAATCAAAAATAATACATTCAATAAATAACGAGGGAAGCCTAGTACCGCAAGAGGATTATTCACAAAACTGAGAAGTTGTGAAGCATGGCAAGATAAAGATGTTGGTTGTATTTTTGCACAAACACGTCCATAACATTTATTAATCATTTAGTAAAATGTATTAGACAAATACCGGCAACAAAATGAAGCTCGCTGTGTAGCAGTGTGAAATCGTACAAAATGAGACCCGCTACTAATGCTCTACCTGCTGCGGCTCATAGCAATGACTAGTTTACCATCAAAATCTACAAGTTAGATTTTTGGTTATCAAAATTTTTAATTACGCTAATGCCTCATCACTGGGAAATATTTAGCTTTGCTCGAATTACCTGGTGTGTCTTGCTCACTACATGAAAAAATCCCAGAAACATCACTAACATCTGCATTGATTGCCCGGGCTGGCCCTGGTAATCTTGGCAAATGTTAAACATTTTTGTGTTTTTGACTGTGAATCACACACAATTTAGCGACGCGAAACTAACACAAACTAATTAACAAATTAAAAAGAACAACTATAAAGAATGAACTGTTAAAAAAGTAGAAGAAAAAACTCCCTCGAACCGTAAGCACAATGAAAGCTCCGAAAACAAAAGCAGAAAATTTTTGAGTCATCAGTGAAGTGAAAACTAGAAAAATGCAGAATTAACAATCGCTGAAAAAAAAAAAATGTTATTAATAAAACTCCCGGATCTGTAAAGTGCATGTGAATAATCAGAGATCCAGTGCACAACGACGCTTCGTACACGACGTTCTCTTAAGGCACAGTATTGCTTTTGAATACAGGTTTTTTACAAATTACAACTACAAGATTATTTGCTTAACAAAAACAGTTTTACAGCGGGGCTATAGGCCTCTCGACGCCTTTAGAAACGAGCGTATGCACGTTGATTCTTCGTGCTTTGATAAATAGCTTTTCAGCGCAAAACGCTTGCCGCAACGTTGACATGCATACGGTTTGATACCTTAAAAAATACCAAATACATTTTCCGACAAAACTTTGCTTGCGCGCATAAATTCCCGCACTTTTAAAAATCAAGGATCCAACAAGTTATAAAAAGAAGTTCAAGTCCTTAATTTTATAAATGCTATAATGCTCCATTAACAAATAAGCAACGGCGTAAACATAGCCTGTTTCCGTTTATCAGATTTTACAGTATTTCTACATAGGCAAGAAATACAACTGCGTTTGTTTTTATTCGAGTAAACGTCTAATGTTTGAAAATTGAAGATATGATATAAAGCTCAGTGACGAGAAAGCCAAACATATGGGGTTTAAGAGCTAGAGAGACCAGTGCAGCGAAGTTATCTTTTGAATCCTGAATTAAAAAATTTAACGTCAGATTTAAATTCAAGCGACTGTTTAAAAGAATAGTCAAAGTCAAAATCCTTTCCGCATTAATGGTGTAATGCATTATCTCGAGAGTTCGACTCCGCTTACGGTACGATTCGTTTGATTGTTTCGATGGAAAACTAGTGCTAGCAAATAGCGAGGGCATCCCCCACTGGCAAAGATGCTGATGGTTCAATTCTTCGAAAGTTGCTTACAAGCTCTGGTAAGTTCAGCCCTTCGAGAGCTGCCAATCCCAGCTTGCTATCGAACGACCGAATGAATCTTACAGTAGGCGGAGTCGAGCTCTCTATATACTGCTCTAGAACAGTGTTACATCTCACTGCGCTATGTCTGTCGGTCAGAGAAATGCAATTTTCCGTAAATTAAACACACACTTTGACGAATCCAGATGCAGGGCGAGGAGGAGAGGGGAGAGGGGGGCCTTTCGTCCTTCCAGGGACTTAGGTAGTAGTTTTACTGTACAAAAGTCTGTTCGGTACCCTTGCCCCTCCTACCCCTCTCCCCTCTCCACCAGAAGCCTTGCCAGTCTCAGTTTAGTGTCCGTTGACGAGAAACGGGGTGGGGAGCTGGGGGGAGATACAGTTAGACCTTCCGCAGGGATGAGGGGAGGGGGGGGGGGGGGGGGGGGGGG